CTGTAAACCAACAAATTTTCGCGAGCGATTTATTTTTACGACTTTCGCGAGTAGAAAAATAACGCGAATTTAAATCGTCGCGAATAGGTATCAACATACCTTTCCTTTTTAACCTACAGTAAGTAAATTAGAAAATCGCGAAATTAAAAGGTCGCGAAATGGACTAGAAAGGGCTAAACGCGAAATAAAGTATCCGCACAAATAAGTTGGTTTACAGTATTATCCATACAGGCGACGCTAGAATGTTCAATTTTGAAGTGGAAAGTTCACAATTTCCCACACATTGTTGTCAATATAATGAATGCTACGGAACTGTCGTATAAAAAAGAGGCTTAGCTAGCTATCAAACCAGGTTTATTCCATAATGTCCTAGATAAGGAAATGTCTGTACCAAGTCAAGAATATGACAGTTGTTTTTCGTTGGTTTATGTGTTTTTGCTTTTGATTTTGTCTTTTGGTAAGGGATTTTCAATTTTGAATTGTCCTTAGAATAGTCTAAGAGTTCGGTATTTTTGTTATTTTCCTTCTTTGGGGAAGCTGAAATGATCTTTTTGTCGTAAAAGATATAGCTATAAAAGCATAAAACACAAGTTATCTTCATCTCTTAACATGACCTATTTCAGACTTCATGTACTAGTATCAAAATTGTTTGTCATTGAAATTTAAGTAACGGAAGCTATAAATCAATGCCGAAAAATGGAAGAATGGTCACTTGAAAAAATACGTTTATACTTATAAAAATATGCATCTCCTACATTTAAAAAAAAAATGGTACATTTATATTAAAATTTGCCAACACATCTAATGTAGTATGAATAGTTTAAGATAATCTCTTATTTAGATTTTTCCCTGGAAGAAATCACAGTTTGCAGATCCCTTTTACGAGAAGACAAAACAAAACAAAAACAAAATGTTCTATTAGCAGATACTACATCAAGCAGTCCAAATATATCAGATGTTACAGAGGTCGCATCAAAGTCAGCCAGCAAAGAAGAGCTGACACATAAATCGAACGAATCACATTCGTTCGATGCCACGTCATCTACTGAATGCTTCATGACAGAATCTGTGAAAGCCAAACAACTGCCCGAGCCTCATTTTCAAACCTTACCTGTAGCTGGACAGAAATCAAAAATAGTAGACAACGATGACACATATGAGTCAGATGTACAAGGCAAACCCCGTACTTCAGAAAGGCAATCAGGTAGATTTGATTTTGATGAAAAGTGTTCAGATGACTTAAGCACTAGGAACGAACAAGTAGCACAATATTATACAACTGAAAACGAAAATTCAGATGCTGCAAAAGACAGGAAAATATATGAAGCTTCGTTTGATGAATACAAGTCAATGGACGATTCTCATGATGCTTCTTTGAAGTCAGATTTTGCTGCTGATTTGCATATAGAAACTGTTTCTAAACCTGGAATTATCAGAAAGCTAAAACATTTGTTTGGTATTACTAAACAAGTTAAAGAAGTCAAAGTGTCAATCACAAAGGACAAATTCTTAGAGAAGTCATCAAAAGTTGGAAAAAAGAAGTTACACAACAAAAAGATAGCACCTATAATAATCTGGGATTTTGGAGGGCAGGATGTGTTCTATTCAACTCATCAGACATTTTTAACATACAGAGCTATATACATAATTGTATTGGATGGGAGTAGAACACTCGATGATCCTTGTCCGTATGAACAGTACCTTCCAGGAAAGAGTGGACATAAAACCTCAAGAGGTATTAATAAACTGGTATTAATTTTCAGTAGACAGTGTTACGAAACAATAGTAAAGAAGATAAAAAAATATTCCTAATATGTTAAAAAAAATACGCTTGTAAACTAAAACATCCATTATTGCAAGAATAAGCACTCAATTAATGTATTTAGTAAACAGTAAACAGTATATTATGTAGAAAATGGTTTTAATACCTTCCCCCTGATGTATTTGACAGTTTTTATTTTGTTTATTATTACAGATTATCTGCTATTCTGGATCAACACCATTGTAACATACTGTAAAGGAAGTATTCATGGATTTCCTAAAATTATGGTTGTTTTAACGCACAAAGATCAGGTAACAGCTGTAAGTATGATGTAGTACATTTCTACAATTGAAATAATGGACTGTTTGGATTTGAATAATGTCTTATAATCTAATAAAAAGAGGATGCAATACGTTTTCATTTATATGTCATTTGAATCAGAATGTAACTTTGTAAACTCAAGCAATGGTTTGATTGCAACAATGTAATTATTTGGTATATACGCAACATACATATCTTCAATTAATTGTTTAATGAATATATTATAATTATTGATTAATATAAATATAGGTGGTAACATATTATATTGATGCTTTTTTTAGAATGAAGTTGAACAAAGACGACAAGACATATTTGGAGAAATCTACAATATGTTTCACACAAATCCATTGATGCAACAATTGGTGATTGATGATGAAATATTTGTAAACGCTAAAGACAAACATGACCCAGAAATGGCGAAGATTAAAGTTGCTATCATTTGGGAATCAGAGAGGCAACCAACATGGGGAGAACCACTTCCAAAGTGCTTTATTCCGTTAGAGTTAGAATTTGCATCGTTAATCAGACGCAACATCCCTCTAATTACACTTGAACATCTAAAGAAAATAAACTCATTGCAGCCAATTAGACCTTTGTCAGAAGCTGAATTGAAGGTATTTCTGAAATTTCAACATTCTATTGGCAAGTTATTGTACTTCAATGAACATAAATTGGACGACCGTATCATTTTGTCTCCCACTCTTCTTATCGATGCATTCAAATCAATTGTTACAGATAGGCAATTTTGTGAAGGGGACAAGAAAAGAGAAGAAATATGGGATGCAATGGGAAAGACAGGGGTGGTATCAAAACAAGCAATAGAAGGCGTTTGGAAGGGAAAGAAATATGTAAAATTTTACCAAGACAAGGATTATCTATTAAATGTCATGACCCATCTTGATATACTGGTTGAACCAAAGAGATATGGTTCTGATCACAACCGCATACCTGCTGACTTTTATTATATCGCAAGTATGGTACGAGCCATAGATGATTCTGGATACCTTCAATCCACTGACATCACTAAACGAAATATTGCCATAGCCTTTCTAACGTCTTCCATGATGATACCCCCAGCATTATCATTTAGATTCATCAGTTACTGTCTGTATGTTTGGGCGGTAAAGACATATGGAGAGACCAAACGGGACATGCTGTTCCATAGGTCAGGAGTTTTCACTGTTGATCCTTCCGTAGATATGTACATTCTCTGTGAAGATGAGAGGATTGTTGTCCGTCTTGTTCATGCTGAAACAAACACACGTATAATGAGGGATATGGCGTCCAGTGTAAACGAATGTTTAGTATCTGCCTTGGAGAAAATCAGTCAGTTGTATATCAAAACAAGTAGCGACCAGAGTCATAACATTGATGCATCCTTTATCACCAGCATATGTTGTAACTCACCGGATAACCCATGTATCCTACCGTTAACAAGACTAGCAAACATTGACAAAATCTGGACATGTCCTGATCATGGCATTGAACACAATATACACACAATCACATCGTGGTTTGCAAGAAAGGTATTTACAAATTAGTTGAAAAGTGTTTCTGGTCAAATTTGTTTTGAAAAAAAAAATTTGAAACGAAAATACAATTTGTTCCACCAAACTTGAAAGTTGCATTTGATGACATGTGTATTCGTTTCAGACTTTTCACATAAAGTCCAGTAACAAAACAAATTGCTTATAACGTCATTGTGGATTAAAAGAAAGGTATACATATTCGTACTATTTGTTTTTAAAGGATCTTTTTCCGATAACTCAATTTATCAACTATATTTTCATTGTCCCCTTTCACGTGAATGGGTTAAACAAAACGCATTTATATTCGATTTTTTTTAATATAGACTTTTGTGAATGCAAAATATGTGCAATTAATAAAATTTGAACAACCTGTGTTTATAATTACAAAATGAGGAAAATTCTAGAAACATAAGCAAAATAAGAGTCCTTTTGTGACATGTTAATCGTGCGTCTATTGCGATTTTCATGATTTGTTTAAAATCCGAAGATTAATAAGAAAAGAAAACGAAATCTATGTAAAATGATGTGTTTCGAAATAAAATGAGGTATACAAAAAAAATACGACCAACTATTTGCAATTGCCAATTAAGGAAAATAGTTGATTGAATATCTTTTTTAACTGATAACATTTAAAGTTTTAAATCATCATGTGAGTGATATGATGTAATGTAAAGCACAAATTAACCCATTGTTTCTTTTTTTCTAAGGATGAAGAAGAATGTGAACCAGGGTGCCCAGGTATTATATGTTTAGTCGGTATCAAAGAATTATGTAGTTTGTATTTACGTCCTACCTTTGTTATACACAAGAATAGGGTGCCCAGGTATTATATGTTTAGTCGGTATCAAAGAATTATGTAGTTTGTATTTACGTCTTACCTTTGTTATACACAGAGTTATTTAATGACAATTCTTTCTGTCTGATATGACGTAGAATTTGGAAACATTATCGCAAATAAAAAAAATTTAAGAAAAACAAATAAAATTCAGAACTCTCTGATTATTACCCGTTTAATGCTGGTTATAAAATACCCCGTTACTACATCCTACCACCTCAATGATCAATGAATATATAAAGAAAGAACCTTGACCCTTTGAATGCAGTGCGAATAATATAAGTTTTGTCATTTATATATAAAAGACATTTTGTGTATTGCACTGGCCCAGTTTTTCTCAGAGTACCGCAATTCAATCATTTGATCGAGAGTCTCAAAATACACATTGCTATGTATAAATGACTTTCTATGATAATAATGTTGTTATTTATACAATATACAATCTTTCCAATCCAGTTACAAATGACGACTTTTTGAAAGTGACGCCATCAGATCTACACCTACGTCGTATGTCATTATTATTCAGTAAAAATGAAGCCAGGGAAATAGCAATCAAAATAGGATTGTCGACCAATGACATAGATAGCATTCTAGAAACTGAAGATTCAAGGAAATGGAATTTTGAAGTTTTGAGACGATGCAGAGATAGTATTGTGGTTACTTTTAAGCACATCAAAGAAGCAGTGGAGGGAAGTGGCCAAGAGAGTATCCACATACTTTGCAAGGTAAACACATTTTGATGAATCACAAAATTTAGTTAGAATTTCTTTGTCCAATTCCTTTAGTTTATTTGTTTTCGGATTTCTTACTTTGTTCTACCACTTTCCTGTCGATGTACCAGACAATGATAAACTATAAAATATAAAAAAAATATAGCTATGGTATTACACCATGTACATTGCATTCAATTGTCCGTAAACTAATACCATAACATTTATTTCTATGATCACATTTATTGGACTTCCGTTTTGTTTCTTCAAACTAGTACTGCCTTAATGTATCATACTAACTAAACAATTCGTATATGATGACAGTCAAAGTCATCTAATAGTAACTTTCTATTTTCCCCTTGTATTACAGCTTGTGAAAGGCGATTCTATTGATTTTGGTAAGTTATTAGACTCCAGTATTGTCCTAAGCCTTTACGAACATGGTAATAGATAAGTATATCATTATTGCAATCCCTCGTTTTTTCTCTGCGTTAATTGGCTAAATTCAAGTTTATTCATACGGTGTAATTTAACATGTTTCATTTGTCCACTCTTGTACTCAATTGAATTCAATATTTTGTTTTTCTGAACAGGTTCTAGGAAAATAATTATTAAATTTGCATGTTGTAATTCTCCTTTGATTTGGTAACAAACTTCTATATATGAAAGATCAGTGGATAAGGTTCTGCATTGTCTATAAAATGTCCATACAATTTGTATTGCAACAACATTAATTAGTTAAGAATTATATAAACAGTTATCCTTTATTTGCATATCTTTGATAAAATATGCTCATTTTAATTTTGACTAATAATCAAATATCTTTAAACATCACAGAAAAGGAAGCAGATAAGTGGGATATGGTACTTACAGAGAAGCACATTGACAGATTGGCTCCATTGGTTGGAAATAACTCACTCCCGTTCCTGATAGAACTTGGAATGGAGTTTCAGACCTGGGAGCAGATTACCCACAGGCAAAATGAACGAGATTTGGTACGACTGAACAAGGACATTTTAGAAGAATGGAGATTCCAGTTTTGCAAAATGCACAGTTTGAAACCAACTTTGAGGAATATCGCAAGTGCATTCATTAACATTGGCAAAAATGTACAAATCGTTGAGAAAACTTTATCAGATTTGTTTTTACTGTTATAAAATAACTTTCTTCTGTTTGCTCCGGGTAAAAATCGAGTGCGAAATTCTCAGAGAGTATTTAACTTGATGAAAAGGATTAATAATTCAATTTTAACTGTTAATTCAAATAGATAATTTAAAGAAATCTGACTATATCAATATACATATTTAATACTTTGTGACAAAACAGTAATTTAGGTTAACCGTGTTTGAACATTTATGGTATACTGATCAATAAAGTCTTCTTTCTGTTTGAAATATCACTTTTACGTCTTGTAATATCATAAATTTGATATATTTTAGTGTATACCATGTTTTTGATTTTTATTATATCTTTTTGTTCTGCTAGTTCGCTTATTTTCTTGAAGTTACTCCTAAAATAAACAAGGCCGTAAAATGATTGATATAGTTTATTGTCCAAACTGAATGTGTTTATTGTTCTAAGAAGCATTTTATCAATAGAAATAGTAAATACAGTTTATTGTCATAACTGAATGTGTTAATTGTTCCGAGAAGCCTCTTATAAGTACATATGCATGTATAATATAAAGGTAAAATGTATATCAGCAATGTTAAACTATACTTCCATGGTTAAAATCTATCTAAGATAGACACTGTCCAACAAAATCAAATACAAAACTTCCGCTTTTCTGCTACATAGACAACATTTGTTGCTTGATGAAATTGTTGGCTGCAAGTTTAAAGAACAAATACTTCTTTTATTGTCAGTACCAGTTAGACACATTAACTTTGCAGTCTGTATTAAAACATTTACATTTTTTACTTGTTTTCGTCTTGAATAAACAACTTTTATAATTGGTCGAATATCGGTCTTTTGATGCATACGCTTTCGAAAACATATTGCAACACATTGTTTAACAAGAATCTCACGAAAACTTTACCCGGAAACAAATGAGTCCTTGTATGCTAAACCCTATTAGTTTGTGGCCTTGTTTTTCTTAAAACGCAAAAGCACTCACTGAAAAGGAAGAGTGAGCTTCCTAAAATAGTTAAACCTGACAATGACTTAATGTGTCTGTCCAAATATGATATGATTGCTGAATTGTCATAGTTTGTCTGTCCAAATATGATATGATTGCTGAATTGTCATAGTTTCTCTGTCCAAATATGATATGATTGCTGAATTGTCATAGTTTTGTCAGTTAAGAATTGCCTGTCCAAATATGATATGATTGCTGAATTGTCATAGTTTTGTCAGTTAAGAATTTCCTGTCCAAATATGATATGATTGCTGAATTGTCATAGTTTTGTCAGCTCAGAATTAATTTTTGGGAGAAAATATGTATCTTTGAAAATATTTTAGAGAAAGAATATCAATTAGTACGCAAACTCTTTTCTATGAATGAATAAAACAAACAGTCTAGTTTACTGTTTTCCCTAAAAAAGGAAAAAGTGTATACGGTTGAATACGCTTGTTGACAGCATGCATAATCAGCTGTAAATTTGAAAGTAGACACCCTTGATATTATGGATACCGTTTATAGAGAACATTTGTGTACATTCTGGGTTTTTTCAGTACAAGATATATAATTACATTAATTATGTTCTCCATTAATTTGTCACATCAAAACTTTAATAATTAAGATAGCTGAACAAATTATGTGTATTGATTAAAAAAGAAAATAAACATAACATTGAATGTATTTGAGTGCCTTATATGCGAATTTCAATTTTGCCCTTGGAAAATAATCATAGTTATTCTCACATTATATACTTTTAAAAACGAATAGATATCGGTGTACTTTAATGCCAGGACCAATAGCATATAGTACAGGGTCATGATAAAAAGATCAGAAAAAGCTACGCGCTGAATGGTTTTAAAAAAGAAGTAAAGATATTAACAAATTGCTATTTTGTCACAACAATATGTGATAACATCATAGTGACCATGCATATCATTATTAAAAACAGACCACACAATTTAAGATTCATCACAAATTGTTTTTGTATTTCGTCTGTTGATTGGATTGTCGGTTTATATTTTTTCACATATAACAGCTACAAACATGAGACAAAAAAGGCAAAAAGAAACAGTAACTGGGAAATCTTGTTCATTCCAGGATATTGTCCTCAATGCTCTTTAACTTGCTTTATTTCGCCTTTTTTATATTTTTTGATTCGAGCGTCACTGATGAGTCTTTTGTAGACGAAACGCGCGTCTGGCGTAAATATAAAATTGCAATCCTGGTATCTATGATTAGTTTATCTACACTCTATTTTTTTTTAGAAAAATGTAATACACCTATGTACACGACTATACTTGATTTCGGACCAATTAAGTTCACACTAACTAATAGTTGCATGTTGTTACTTTATCATGTTAACATACTGTATTGGTGGTTTTTGTAAGAGATTATTATTCCTTGTGTTCAAAATAATGTTCTAATATGTATGTTGTATTTAGAGAGTAGAGTATAACTATATGGTATTATATTGCTTCTGACTCTAATGATGTGTTCAATAGTACTGAAATAGATCATGTGACTTCATGTTAAATAGTATTTAACTTGCTTTTTTTAACATTTGGAAGAATGACAAATGCACGCCTGATTGTTTTTCTCAAGTTTGTTACTATCCTTTTACAGCTTTGTAATGTATACACTATTTTGTTTCAACTATTTGTACATGATTGAAGACGTTTGAATTTTTTTATTGCTTCGGAGGAAATTTTCTTTGTTCTATTTTTGAAGAACTAACAATAAATACTCCCCTTTACATTTTGACATATTTTTTTTCTACTGCAGATAGATTTTTAAAAATGCTTGATCATACGTACTATGATATCAAATACAAATTTCCGGTTTTCGAGTAAGTTTTCCCAAGACGAATTGTTTTGACAGTTATTAACGTTTTCACCATTTTATTTGGTCTTCGTACATGTAGGCGTTGAATTAATCTTAAATAATTTATTTGCGTTATATTTACTGTATTTTCTCAAATCTTGTTTAATTGAACTTAGCATTGCGCTAAATGGTTATCAAAGGGGGGCGTATACTATTCCTCAAAAGTACAATCTTTGGGTTCTTTTTACTATACCACAATGTTATAATTCTTAGAAATAGCTTTTTCTTATTTTGTTGCACTATCAGCAACTCTGGCCACTTATATAATACACAGAATTGTAGCTTTTGGGTGTGATAATAAACATATCTCTTATTATGATAAACATGATATATATTAACAAGCTTATAAAATAAAAAAAATGGTTTTATTCATTTTCTTCTTGTGTTGCTTATTATGTAATCGCATTAAATGTGCATTGACCAAAATAGAAAGAATAAAAAAACAGAACGCACAAGTCCATGTCCAAATTAAATTATGAACAATGTAGATCAAATTAGTAATGTTTGATGATGTTATGTTCATACCTGGATGTGTCTTGATTTTATGTATGTTGGATGTTCTCGTAGTGATGTACATCATATCATATAGCAACCTTCAAACAATTATAATTTTAATTAACAACATAGAAGACAAGCTGACCCACCGTAATTTGTATTTGTATTTTTAATTTCGTGAACATAATACTGAAACAAGATTGTCATTGGACAATTAGGTATGATTTACACACAAGATATACACAAGAGTCTTTATTGACAATTTGAATTAGGGTCTTTATCGACCTACTTCAAATGTTTAAATCCGTGACTTTTGGCATTGCTTATTGATATCACACAAATATTTACAAAAGTCTTCATAAACAGTTTTAATTTCACTCTTTTCCACTCATTAAGAGATACCTTCCAAAATTGCGATCATTCAGTGAGTTCCTTCGTCTGAATCACATGTTGCGGTTCATATTGGCTGCTCATTCAAAATTTTTGGTACCCCGTTTGTATCTATCAGAACATGCCATTATTGACTAAATAATAGTGATCATTTAGCTCTGCCGGACCGATTAGATAAATGTTTACGTGAATTCCCATTACATGACATAGTTTTTTCCAAACCTATTTCCAGTTTTGCATCGATGCTTGCAGTTCCTTGCAACCAGATTCAAATTTCGATTAGCGAGCTTCGTATGAAATCATTTATTTTGGTACCCTCTTATTGACATGTAACATCGTATAACCTTAATGAAACTTCTTGTATCTTATTCATCGCTAAAATTCACATAAACATCCCTACTGCTAATGTAATTCAACATTACACCACAATCCTGTCCACTATCAGTAATGTGCGTCACACTTTCTGCAAAGTTTCATCTACTCCTGTATGGTCCTGAGCATGTACTGACTTCTCACATAACGTCTTTTATTTGTTTGGTGGTAACCTGCGCAAATTAAGGAAAAACTTGTTCAACCTGATAAAGAAAAATTGTTGATTGTTCTATAATATTTTAAACAAGTCATGCATAATTTTGTTTTGCTCCAAAGTCAACTTGGATTTGCAATACTTTACTAGAGCCATATAAAAATATAGTGATGTGGTATGATTGCCAATGAGACAAACGAATATCTACTAAAGTTCAAATAAAGTGGGTGTAAGCAATTATAGGCAAAGGGAATTCAACAACGAGAAAGACATATACCGTATAGTCGGCTATAAACGTCCCCGACATAAAAGAATATAATGCATTGCAAGTGAGAAAACTAACGGCCTAATTCATAAGTCTTTTTGCCGACTTGTTCCTTTATTCTTGTAATACTGACTGCATACAGAAACTTCTTAGGAAGAAAGAAAAGAAGTTAGCAGTATCCGTTAACTTTACTTTCCGCTATGTAGATGATGTTCTCTCACTAAATAATTCAAAATTTGGTGACTATGTTAAACGCATCTATCCCATCGAACTTGAGATAAAGGATACAACAGATACAGTTAAGTCTGCCTCATGTCTTGACTTACATCTAGATATTGACAATGAGGGTCGGTTGAAAACAAAACTTAACGACAAAAGAGATGATTTCAGCTTCCCAATTGTGAACTTTCCATTTCTATTTAGCAACATTCCAGCAGCGCCTGCATACGGAGTCTATATCTCCCAATTGATACGATATTCCCGGGCTTGTATCTCCTATCATAACTTCCTTGATAAAGGGTTGCTGCTCACAAAGAAGCTATTAAACCAAGAGTACCAAATGGGGAAGTTGAAATCATCCCTTCGTAAATTTTACGGACGCCATCACGAGTTGGTTGACCGTTATGGAATATCCGTTTCACAAATGATAGCAGATATGTTCTAATGTCATGCTACAATCCCGTCCCCTTTTCACTAATGTAACCTACCGAACTAGACTTGTTACCTGGTTTGTACTAACATGAGCAACACGGCGGGTTCCTCATGTGGAGCAGGATCTGCTTACCCTTCCGGAGCACCTAAGATCACCCCAGTTTTTGATGGGGTTCGTATTGCTTAGTCTTTAGTTTTCTATGTTGTGTTTTGTGTACTATTGTTTGTCTATTTGTCTTTTTTCCTTTTAGCTATGGCGTTGTCAGTTTATTTTCGATGTATGAGTTTGAATGTCCCTCTTGTATCTTTCGCCCCTCTTTTATAACCACTGGGTCGATGTCTCTGCTGATGGAAATTTTGTCTCCGAGGACATCATCCACCCAGTAGCAATATTGTATGAATTTACGAAGATCAAACAGAATACTGGCGCGGACGTCGGCCAGTGTAAAAAGATCTGAAATAGACGTAAACATGAACACGGTGTCGTCTGATATGGCTGGTGTCCCCTCATCACCAGACATGATAATTATCTCAAATATAACACATTCAGATCATCATACTAATTACAATATCAAGAGTCTACATACACAGCCAAATTCAGTTCTTCTAAAAGACATTTTGGATTTTGA